TCCACCAAACTCAACAAATATGTTGTCGATCAAAAAGGTCCAGCATTTTGATGATATCATCTTCGTTGAATTTGTTGTGGAAATCAGTGCTGTTCTCAATATAGAAAGATTTTTCATGACCCAAAACAAGGAGTTTGTATCTACATTTCCCATTTTGCAAGAGCTGTGCCTAATTAGACGACGTAGTCGATCTATCTTTCAATTGAGCATGGGGAATATCTTAGAAAAATCAAAGGTTTTGATATCACTGTAAACTGAAGAGATTGTGATTGAAGATTTTGGAGTATATCTTTAAATTTGATAAGCATCCACATCTTATTGACCATGTTGACACTGTTAGTTGAATATACCTCACCACAACATTTCTGAAGGCCATCTTCTGACTAAAGAAAGAATATTAGTCAGAAATTTAGACAAATGTTTAGTCGAAAATCTTGGCGACCGGTCTACATGTCGTATGGGGATTTTTTTGAAGTTAAGATATCAAGTATAAAAATGGGAGCTTTTCATCATCCTTTTTTTATATCACTACCAAAGGAGAGAAGGACGGATTTATGATCTTTTCGTGAATGTGAATTCCAAGTTCTGAAATGAGACATTCCTAATAATGATTTCTGCATATCAAAAACAACATTGCTTGAGACTTATTTTGCTGGAAAACAATATATTTGTCGTGAAGAGAGGATTAGGCATCCACAACCTTGGGCTTCTTGAAAGGGTTAGACACCTGTGTGCTCATTGTGCACCATAGATTTTGAATGCGCTTCTGAACGTATGACTGAACAGCTTTGATCCATTCAGATAAAGTGTCCAGTTTTGGTTTATCTGGATTGCGCTTTATCCATTTTTTTGGCATATTCCTCAACTGCGTCCATCAGTTACCTGAATTTCTTCAAACTGATGAACATGAATTCGAAATTTCAGACTTTTGACTAACAACTCCCCAAGATGTTTATTATTCAATCTGCCAAGGTCTCCACTATAACATGACCAGCGGCATTATATTTGTATGGGGACGATGCACAAGAATAATTGAGAGGTTTTGGATTTACGTTCCTGGGGGTAAAGATCTCTAATACCCTCATGTGGTTGAAAATCATGGATACAATAGGTTTGGTGTAAGTATATGAGATGACAGATGTAGTTTTATCTTTGCAGTAAACCCGTATTGGTTTCTGGACAGATTTTTGGTTGAAAATATTGCTAATATTGATGTCATCCCTTATCAACAGCCCAGTAGTCAGTTAGAACGTTTGGCCCTCAATACTCCCGTCTGGCGTACAAAATTATAAGTCTGGTATCTTTGATGAGTTTATTTAAATCGCAACAATAACTTGATAATTCGGTGTCCAAGAGTTACTATTTATTTGCCACTTTTGATGTTCTCTTAGCTTCTGTTCTTTAAATTATGCCTTAAAGAATTATTATTATGGATTAATATGATGTATTTTTTTAAAGAAAAGATGAAAAATAAAATCTGTATCAGTACAATAATGCAAGTGGGGTCTATTTTACTTATATGAAAAAAAATTATTGATAAATAAAAAGGAAAGAAATTTCAACACGATGCACCTTCTTAAACTGAACTATATGTATTTGAAAGTTAAAAATTCCCCAACTTAGGACCATTAACAAACTATTATAAATACTGAAGTTATGGAAATGAAACTATAGTTACCCTATATGCCACTCTACAATCGTCATTTTCATTTTCAATATCATATAGTTTTTATCAAATCAATAATCTTACGTGTCTTCAGAGGAGTTAGAAAAATAGAAGATCAATGCTTGGACAGAGAAGTGCTCCCCAAAACAGGTAATTTTACTGGTAATCTTGCGGACAAATAAAATTAACCAATATTCTTGGTTAAGTAGGTAAGTGATTAAGTAAGTAAAATTGTATTTGATCAGGCATATTGACAAACACTTGAACATAAGCTTTGATGAGCTTAAAAAAAAATTGCAACTAAAATCTATCTTTAGTTAACATGGTAAATGATATACTAAGTAAAGTAATATTGTCTAGCATTTTTGTAATTACTAAAAAGTAAAATTTAAATTGCAATGCAAGCTATTCATGGCGCATATAATGCATGGTATGGGTTTTGCTCATTGTTGAAGGCCGTACGGTGGCCTATAGTTATTAATTTCTATGTTATTTGGTCTCTGGTGGAGAGTTGACTCATTGGCAACGATACCACATCTTCTTATTTGTATATGAACATGTATCAAATTACCTGCAAGCCGTTCAAAGGCAGTCAGAACTATTCCAGGACTGAGCAAGAGTTATAAAATGGATGAAGATGCTTTCAGTCAGAAAGTGGTCTGGTAAACTATTCCATAGAGAAGCAGCAGCTAAGCTAAACTATGTTTTACCATAGGTGGTAGTTTTAACATGTGGTATTTCCAGGATGTAACTGTATCTAAAATAATATTCATTATGTTTAATATGAAACAATCTTTGTAAACATAAAGGTGCCAAATTGTTAAAATAAATTGTAAGTCGCAAGTACCATTTTCCTGATGCGTAGCACATGTAGGACATGTAGGGTTGAAACCTTTGCGATCGCAAGAAGGATTTCAGAGGATGATAAATAGTCGTCATAGACGAGTATTGATGCTTTTTTTATATTTTCTAAAGTTTTTAAAAAAAATTCTTTGCATTAAAATGCCAAGTCAAACGGCAAAAATTGAAATTGCTCAAAATAAAGATGTGGAAAATTGTGAATTTGTTTAATCTGGTTAAAGATTCAATTATCTTGAGAACATTCAGCTGTTGTTGTATGCCTTTCTATAAAATTTACTTATATTTGCACCAAATTCAATTATTAACTAAAAATAAAATTCGAAGTAACTTGACGGTTTCTTCGCAAGACAATATATTTAGCTGAGTTTGGGTTGACGGATTCGTTGCAAAGTTTTTTTTTACTCTATAGCAATAATCTGAAATTTATCAGGATTTGCCTGCATCTTAATTATTTTCTTTGAACCACTCAATCGGTATTTAAGACGGTCATAATCAGGACTGCTGAAAGACATCTGCAGTCAGAGATAGTACTTCATTATCATAATGCACTGGCTACGATTACGTTGAAAACGTAACAATAACAAAAAAGTTATTGTTAAGTTGGCCACTAATTGCTGCAATGTTAGGTTGGGTTAAGAACCAATTAATTACGAACGTTGCAATAATATTTGTGTCTATGCTGAGACTACTATACGGTAGTTTAGTTTATTTCCTTTTTTTATGGTAGTTTACCGTAACATTGCGTTATTGTTACTTTAGATTTGTTAAACTTTTAACCGACTTCAGTTTTGTTGCTGAATTCTACGATATTATTATTATTATTATTATTATTATTATTATTATTAATATTATTATTATTATTATTATTATCTATGATGATTTTATTAATTAGTTTAAAAGTTTAAAAGTTTTTAAGTATTAATTGTTTTAGTGTTCTTCAAGATAATACTACATTTCATAGTGCCAAAGAATATAGGTAAAAGGTTCGATGAAACGAAGAAAAGTTTTCACTTCTATGTATTTAACTGCACGCTTTCAAAAGCAGATGGAGTACGTCCAAATCAAAGGTAGGTTTTTCCTTCCTATATACATATCAATGGGTCATAATAGCAATACGAATTTTAAATAATTGCATGAATCCATGAAGTAAACTTGAAGTTTAAAGTGACGAAGACTTCCAATTCAGGTGCGGATCCAGTATTTTTAAAAAGGGGGGAGCAAGTCAACGTTTGGAGCGATAAAAAGTCCGATGTATTTATCATATATGAAGCACCATTAGAGGACCCGGGCCCGGGTCCCAGTCCTTCTCCATAAATCCGGTTCTTTGTGTGCGTCGGACTAAAACATGCACCAAAAGCACATACTGAATGTGCTGAAGCTGTCATTATAAATTAAATTCGTTGAACTATAAATGAAAAAAGAAAAAAATAATGCATTTATCTCTTTTATTTTGTTGGAATATTACCGATTAAATTCTCTTAAAACAGGGACTATTATACTAATATATTATGTCCCAGCTCAAAATAGGTCAATATTTGTATAGAAAGCGTTTAAAATCGACGAAAATCGTTCTTAAGTTTGTCTTAAAATCATCAAATCTTCATTTTATAGTACATAGATTTTTCTTAAAAAATCATATGCTGTTGAATTTCCGATTTTATGTGCTTTCGGTACAAATGTTCACCTATTTTGACAAAATTCAATCAGCAATATTTTAGAAAATAAAAGAGATAAATGCCTTTTTTTTTTTTCGATTTTCAGTTACAGCTCAACTAGCCAAAGTTGTATGCAAAATTTTACCAAAATCTGTGATATAGCCCATTTACTGTTCCCTGAGACTACTATAACAAATGTGTTATAGTAGTCTCAGTTGTTCCTTGACCTTGACCGTAGACACAAATATTATTATTACGTTTGTAAATAATCGGTTCTTTACTCAACCCTGCATTCCGGCAATTAGTCTCCAATGTAACAATAACTTTTTTATTATTGTTACATTTCAGTGTAACCGTAGCCCGTGCCTTGTAATTAATATGGTTCCTAACCCAACCTAACATTCCGGCAAATAGTGGCCAACGTAACAATATTTTGTTTTTATTGTTACGTTTTTTTGTTTTTTTTCCAAGCCAGGAATATGAAAGTTGTTTTCCATTCGTTTGATGTGTTTGACCTTTTGATTTTCTCATTTTATAAAGGACTTTCCGTTTTGAATTTCCCTTGAGGTTCGAAATTTTTGTTATTTTACTTTTTTTCAATAGTCGTAGTAGCCATAGCATCATTGGTCGCACCTATAACTATTCCTACACCAAAATGAAGAAACTTCCAAAAGCTTCCCATCAGATATAATACACCTACATAAGAAAAATATTTGTTTCGTTATATGAACCCCATGCGGCGGTGTTTCGTAAATGGAAGGACTTACGTTAAAAAAAAGTAAAAGAAGACCCGACAAAAATAATCGTTACTTTCCCCTCTACAAATTTTGTTCTCTGATCTTTCGTAGTCCAACGTGGGTGCTTCAAGCATGCAAGGTCCTTCAAATAGTGTAATTGTTCCATGGATCAATAGGTAATGTTAAACAATAAACAGAAAATAAGATCTACCACTTTATTTTAAATCAGAGACACGTGTTTCGGCCAAAATTTTTGGTATTGTGTCCGGCGAATTTATCATCTTGACAGGGGTCGTTTCGTAACCGGGTCGATTCGTAACTTAACTAGGTCGTTTCGTACCTGAGACGTTTTGTAACCTTATATCAATATATAATAACAATATATAAGAACAATATGAGTAGTAGGTTACGTAAAAAATAATAAAAAGACTTATTGATGTATGTACAACTGATGTATATATATATATATATATCTATATTTATTTATTAAATAATTGATTGCACATAAATTTACAAGTACAGTTTTGCACACATGCCAATAGAACAGAAAAATTTGAATTGTCCATCATCATTTAGATGTACCCGTCTTTATCAAAGTATTTACAGTACAAATTTCGCGAAAGGCTTCCCAAACTCCGAACACCAAGTTTTTTCTTAGTGTGACACCAGGAAACTCCGACATCCCTCCCTAAATTCTCGGAGAAATTTGGGAGTATTCCCTCCGACTTCCGCGTAAATTCGCTACCTTTTGTTTATTGTATTAGCGACATCTCTCCCAGTCCGGTGTGACGCGGTGTCACACCAGGTAATTAATTGCCCTAATCCTTCTGATCTATACCGGCACGCGACAGTCAAGGTATGTGAGATTACTTATGTAATTAAACAATTGTATTTCCTGTCTATTGATAATCAGGTTATATTTCTGATTGCTTGAAACAAATAAAAGATTTAAAAGTAAAAAAGTTGTTGTTAATTCTTTCAATTACACTGTACATTTAAAAATAGTTTTATTAAAAAAAAACTATATTTGATTTTTACCTCGTTTTTTTTTCTGGTCAGTAAATTAATATTTAATTTACAAAAGAGATATACTTGCGTAAAAATAAACGAAGACTTACACTGAATAAATGTGGGCAGTTTAAAGGAAAATTACATGTCTCAAAGTTTTGTATACAAGTAAAAAAGAAAATATTATTCACTATTCGTTATGCTAATAAGTCCACGCCATTTTCATTTTACGATTACATAATTGCTTGAAATTAAATTAAAGATTTAAAAGCAGAATGTTGTTGTTAATTCTTTCAATTGCATTAAAGTTTTATAACAAAAACTATACTTGATTTTGACATTGTTTAAGTTCATCGGTAAATTATTTTATTTACGAAAAGAGACATACTTGCGTAAAAATAAACGGAAACTAACGCTGAATATAAAAGTGAGCAGTTTAAAGAAAATTACGTGTCTCAAAATTTGTATATGCAAGTAAAAAAGAAAATACTATTCACCATTCGTTATGCTTAATAAGTCTACGGCATTACTTTAGGATAAATAGTTACATTTCGGCTACAACAGGAATACTTCTATAGCTGCATCAACTCGTCGTTGCATAATATTCATTTACGCACAATGAATGTAAACTTGTGTGTTGTATAAAGGACAGTGATTTTAAATTTTTTTAAAAGAAATTAATTGCCGTGGGAAGACGATACACATCTCAGTGATCAACAGTCCGTGGTTGAACTTTGAACTTGACCGCTCACAATATTGAATGCTAAAAATAGTGACATCAATTTTGTCCACGAGATTTTTATTTGGCGGGAAATATTATCACGTAACAGCAAACTCAGGTGACCTTTCTGGATTACCGTGTGAAAATTCATTCGAGGTTTAAATTTGCTTTGGAATGATTGACATTTGTATGCCTTAAGATTGAGGCTCTAGAAGGTCCTTTTACAATTGATTAACCGGAATCTAAAATATAATCCTTTTCTGAATAAACGAACACCAGCCTTTTAATTTTACGTTTCTCAGTCAACACAGGACATAAACCTGGACATTATTTATTCGTCCATGGTCAACAATATACATAAATGGTAGATGAAAACAGGATGCATGTCGTTCAGTTCCTGTTGGGCGTTGGTAGAGATCCTCTGTGAAAATGTGTAGATTGTAAAAATCGGATCCACATTTTTTTTTATTTCAAATGACAATGACATGGGGCAAATACATACAAGAATAATTATCTTATTTTGAATGAAAATGTCACATTTTTATCTGTCAAAGAAAGGAAATTTTAATACCGTGTTTTAAAGCACACAGGTGCAATCAAGATCGATTAAATGTACAAAGGTAATAAATCTGGCTAATCCGATTATGTTGTCACGCGTCATTAATTTTCAGTACATCCGATGGGCAATAAACCAATTAACAGCCACGCGGTGTTGGGAGAGAATCTTTGGAGGAAATTGGGAGTATAATCCGTGATTCGCGGTGTGACACCGCTACACTCCGAAATCCGTGATTAGAGTTCGCGATTACAAACTCTCTGTGCGTACTGTAGTCTTCTGCCATGTGCTTTGATGTCTGACAGCTCGGTTGACGACCCTATGGAGGACATTGATGCAACTGCCACAATTACTTACAAGATATTATACCAAGGTACCAAACGTGGTAAGCATAAGCTTTATTCTAGTGATGGTTTTTCTTTCACTGTTAAAAGGCAGCAAAATGAAAAGACCTGGTGGTGGTGTAGTGTAAGAGGTAAAAATAACAGGTCATACCTGCCAACTTTTGAAAGTCCCCATGGGGGTTTTAGTGCGCGACAACAATTCTTTGCGACATATTTTGCACGTGCTGTTTTGTGGTCTAGAAAAAGTGTCATATTTGTATGATGAGCTTACAAGCCTTTTTCTTAAGCTTATTAGCATGATTCTAGTTATTATTAATATATCAGTAGAAAAGATGAATCTGTAGCTACATTTTTGTAGAAGACCAGGATTTATTTTCTTGTGTTAGGATATTAAATGATTGTTGACGTTTAAAATTTAAAATTATGCACAAAGAAGGACTTTTATCAGGTTGGGAACAACACCCCAAATGAGGGGTAACCCCTCAATGTAAGGACATTAAAAACCAATTTTAAGTGCAAATGAGCATATATCTATCTTATTTGAAGAAACTTTTTCTAAAGAATTATACATCTATCTGGTATTATATGGTCAAAACATGTCCAAGAATTTTGTAATGTTCCTGGATTTTCATCTTCTTTATCATGTTTATTATTAAAAATAATTGGACCTCTCATTTAGAAAAGACTTTAAAGTTGTTCCAAATATAATGAATTTTCCCACTTTTAAGTTAAAAAATCTAAATTTTTCTTTTTTCTTTTTTACAACAGTAAAATGACCCCTTGTCATAATGTCTAGGGGACAGTCCCTCATTTAAGGGATATACCCCTCATTTGGGGTTTTGTTCCGTACCTGTTTGTTTCGTCCTTGTGAAAAATGAAGTACAAAATGTATAGTACATTGTACTTTAAATGATTTGCCCCATTTGGTTATTTAATTGAATACAAAAATGACATATGTTACAGCAAGTGTAATGTCAATAAATTAGTGAATAAACTACTATTTATTATCTTTATGGTAGTACTGCATCATTGAATTTTGTCAATCAGCCATGCTTTTATTCTTAAGCTGTTTAAGAACCTCCTTGCCGATGAAAATTAACCTTCCATGTTCACGATTTTACAATTCTGACTAACACACAGAGCACTATACAAATCCTTGCACAGAGGAATACAACACAAGTTCAAAATCTAGCATGTTAGAATAATCTTAAGAGAAAACATTTTTGATTGGCTTATTAATTTGATCATGAGAAACACAGAATTTGATTGGCTGATCACGATTGTCTTTCCTTGGGAACAGTTCAATATCGGGAACAATCATATTTTTCGTGTAGATTTTCACAAAATCGTGTTTTAGAGGTTTTTTCACGATCCCGATCGTGCAATCGTGACAAAGGGTCAAAATCGTGTAGTACACGCCTAAATCGTGAAAGTTGGCAGGTATGACAGGTGTCCAGCAGCCGTTAGCCAAATAGGTGACAAATTCGTTCCAGGCAAACTACCACATAATCATCCTTCTACACCTGATTCAGTGGTTGCGGCAACAATTTAATCAACTGTCAAAGCACAAGCGGCATTACCAGCCCATGCTTTTACTGGATCACCAGAGATTGTGAAGACAGTTCTAGCAACACATGCTAATGTAAACTCCGCCAACGCCGGTCCACGGCCAGTTCGGGTGAAAAAGGAGGAGGGTTATGCAATTGCATGTAAAAGTGAAAAAAAAAGGAGAAAATAATTATTTTTTTCAGGTCGTGTGCCATAGGTCGTGTGCCATTAATCTACTTAATCACTTTACACCTACTGTAATTACTTTTTATTACCTGTCATTATTTGTCATTAATCCATTTTAAAAAGCTGTCACAGAGCGTAATTACCAATTAGTCAATTAGCTAATAATTAAAAAGATTTAAGAAATTTATAAATCAAAAATATAACAATATTGTTATTATTAGATGAACAATTTGATCATTTTTAAATAATAACTTAAACTTTTTTCATTTAAACTAATTAATTTAAACTAACACTTTATAACCATATAGGGACCTCAGTGGCCGAGTGGTCTAAGTAGTCACTACTGTAATCACTAGCCAGTCAACACTGAGGTTGTGAGTTCGAACCCCGCTCGTGCGGGTGCACTCGACTCCAATCTTAATTGACTAGGATTGTCAGTTTTCCTATCGAAGGTCGGTGGTTTTCTCCGGGCACTCCGGCTTCCTCCACCAATAAAAACTGGCCGCCACCAAATAGCCCAAAAGCGGTGCTTAAAAGTGACGCTAAAACACCAAAAATCAAATCAATCAAGTTATAACCATATATAATTACACCAGGTACGAAACGTCTCAGTTACAAAACAACGTAGTTATGAATCGACCAGGTACGAAACGACATGCATTCCTTGACAGTCGTGTACTTTGCATTTTATAGTTCATGTATCAATTCAAAAATATGTATAATTGATTTCCCTTATGTACCAACTACAGGAAATAGGTTACGACTAAATCTTGGTGGTGTTATTAGTCTATCAGAGGCATTTATGTTGACTAGATTGTACACGAATGATATTTGCTAGCTAAATATATGACCTGTACACTATATAAATTTACAAAACACCAATAAGACTTAATAAATCTGCTTTATTTCTTTAATTCATTACTAAATAAAGTTTCAGCCATGATAAAGTTGACTGTCAAATTTATTGTTCGGTTTCTGGAAGAAAAACCCCATCGATTTTGTTTTGGTTTTTTTAGCCTCCACTGCCATATTGTGAGTCTCACTCTTAGCATGCATTTTAAAATCATACAGACCACCAGAAGCAAATGAAGGTTTCTTGTAGGATTTGACATGGCAGAAAGGATTTTTGATTACTTATAAATCGAACATAAAAACTACTCTCCATAGTTTTCCAATTTGATTACTTCTATTGACAGTAATGAAAAATTCCAGTCATTCTAGTTTAAAATATCCGAATGGGGAATGCATTCATACGTGAGTGGACTTATATGCAGAGATTACGGAATTTTTTTCGTTTGTGTGGGAGACTCTGGCTCAAAACGGGAGGGTTGGCAGGTGTGCATAAGTCACGCTCGAATAAAAAAAGTTAGAAGGCTAAATCAAGTACGAAGTTGAAGAGCATAGAAGACCCAAAATTCAAAACACTTTAAATTACTAAGTAACATAGTGATCGTTTACTCACACAGAGTGATGATCAATGTCGACACAAGGGATTTTTACCTCAGGATAATAAACACTAATGTAAAAAAATTATTTCGTGTTTAATGTTTTATCTTCATGTATATATCAACAGTTGTGAATTTGAGGCAGTATACCATGGGTTATTTGGTGGTTGTACATCAGCACAAAAACAAGCCTTAGCAAGAATCAATGTCTGGAAAAGCAGGTATTAAATTGATAGAATATTATGTGGCAGAATGGGGTAGTAATCAAGTATTTTTAGCACTCAACCCTCCCCCTTTTAATATTGATTAGTGTCATAACATCAGTTACATGTACATAAAAGACTAATACCAGTAGTTAAAATCTGTACAGTAAAAAGACTAGCGCTAGCTTAACTCTCTCATTTGGTATAATTGCCAACTACATCATAGACTCATAGATACAAGTAATGATACAATATTAAAGATTGCCTACAATTTCTAAAAAGGTTCTAACTTGCTTATATTGGAAGTATGCTGTTCTACACTTTATTATCATGATTATTGGCATATTTTTAATAAATGACATATTCTTAAATTTACATATGTAATGTGATATTTATTGTAATAGTACTTGCACATGAGATGTCTATATTTTGATCTTTTAATGAAGTAATATGACAATCAGACATACATACAGTCATATAAAAAAACACATATAAATAAATATTTGAAAACTTGTAAATGTAAAATATAATCTGAAAGCAGTGTCCACCATCTGACATTTTTAAATAAAACTTCTACATGTTAAAGGACAAAGCCAATGAAAACGACACAAGTTCAAAAATTACTTTCTTTTATTAAGATGTATTGTCCAATTTGTTTAATGAGGTACAAAGGTTGTTTTAAGAATTGTTTTTATAGATGTATTCTGCCTGTTGCTGTAGAAAGTACAGAGGCGCTGATTAAAGTTTTTATAAATGAACATGAAGGAAAGAAATCTGGTCAGAATATGGAAGATTCAATCAGGAATGCATACAGTTTAGCCATTATTAGGTAGGTGTTTTACAATTCTTCATTCTTAATAAGATGAGGTATATTCTTTGTTCAAAAACATACACTAAATTTTTTGCATATATGATGAAAAGTATAATAATTTAGTTTTTCATCAGATTTTTAGTTGAAATTAAGACCATGCATATTCATTCCTATTTTTATACCCCCTCCTAAATGTCTAGACAGATATTGACAAAATTTAAGACAGTTGTAGATCACTACCTGTGGATGTGCATGAAGGAATATTATCATGGTCCTATATATTAAAGGGGAGATAATCGAACTGATACATGTGATACACTTCAATATTGCAATGTGTGGTAATAGACTCTTGTAAGAGAGGGACAGAGAAAACGTTATGTGAGTTCACTTTCAGTTATAGTTTATATGTATACATAAAAGAGCACATTATTAATTTAATTTGGTAAATTAGCTTACTTGTTAATACAGGTTATTTACAAAACTGAATAAGGGGAGATAATCCAACTTACTTCAATATTGCAATGTGTGGTAATAGTCTGTTGTAAGAGTGGAGCAGAGATATTTTTTGTGAATTCACTCAAAGTTTAGGTTATATGTTTGTACATATTAACACATTACTGATTTAGAAAAACTAGCTTACATGTTCATTGAGGTTATCCTCAAAACCTAGTAAGTCTTTTTGAAATATTTTTACTTCTAAATTTAAGGCATAGTTCTGGTTGACAGTTGAAAAAATGTTTGTTTTTGTTAGGTTTGTGAATCATATAACAGAAAGAAGCCAAGTGAAGCAGTATATGCAGGCTGTTCATAGACTTGCTGGAGAGGTATGACCAAATTATGCCACACATTATAATTTATAAATTGTAACTAAAAGGTAATCATGGTAATTGATAAATTGGAAATATGATTTAAAACTAAAACAGTTATTGATTAATTAGAAATATACAAATCACAGAAATTACAAAGGACTTTTGTTTTACAGTTGGGAGTTCCAGAATGGATAGTCAATTTAAGACATGATGCTACACATGGTCGTCTGCCATCATTAGATTTACTGAAGACAGCTGCAGACTGGTGTATTCAGTGGTTAAAGGTAATAATTATACATGTATTGAGTCTTAACATATAATTTATTTTTAACCTATCAATGTAAATATAAACTTTTTTTTTATTCCTGTCATATAAGTTATTGTTCTTTTCCAAATTTGAATTATTCTTGTTAAAAATTATGTTATTCAATGATGTTCATATTTTGACTATATTTTTCAAAATTGTTTATTTTGTATAACTTTTTTTCCAATGTCGGTGTTGAAATTTGATATGGACTTGGAATTGTTTAATGTCTTACGAAAATATTTATGTGTTTTAAATGACTCATTTAAAAAAGTTGCAAATGAAAAAAGGAAGAGAAACTTGAATGTACAGAGGATATAAAAGCAATTTAACTCATTGTATACTTCTGTCTTTATTGTGTACAATTACTTCATTGTGTACAATTTACTTCATTGTGTACAATTTACTTCATTGTGTATAATTTACTTCATTGTGCTATAATTTACTTCATTGTGTATAATTCAATTTTAGTGTAAAGATATTTTATTGTGAAAATCATGATATAAACATTACTAATACATGTAATATAAGTTTTTGAAAACAAGTGAATTATCACTTTTCTAAATTCTTCTAAATGATATAATAATAAATGCTGACTTCCAGTCCTTACACAAATCTGTAATGCAGAGATTACATAGATATGACCATTAATTAGAAACAATCTTAAAGCAATAAACAATCTCAAAAAGCTGAAACATTTTATCAAGTTTATACATCCAGGGTAGATTTATTTCTTATAAAACAATCGATTTAGTTTATTTATAACCATCTCAATGAAATTGATTGAAAATGTTAAAAAAAATTGCAGATCCTTGATGAGTATGAACAATTTGTGACAAGAATATGAATGAAAGTCCATACATTAGTAAATTGCTAAAACAAATAAAATTAAACAAAGATAATTATATTGTATTAAAAGTATTTCAAGGTTGGACCATATTTTTAATAGGATGAATATTGGGAAAAGCAGATGGCAGGTATGGCTTTCCAACAAGACCATCCATTGAAAGATAAAGACAGCAAAGTCAAAGATAATATCTCAGATATGCTTAGTAGTTTTAAAATTAAGGTTTGTTTTATTAGTTTGAACATATACTGTTCAGCAACAACTATCATTTTTGTCCATGTAGTCCCTACTCAGTTCACACCATTCAATGGAATATTTATAAGATAGCAATGTTTCTTGAGGAGTAAGTCGGCATAATAGCAAAAGGAGGTCGCTATGCTTTATTGGCCTTGGTTAAGGATTGTGAGTTTATCTCAAATTAAACCATTTTCAACAAAATAAGAATGATTAATTGATTACTACTTGCTTAATGTCCAGTGGAAAATATTTCATGAAAAATAAAAACTTGTTACACATTATGATACTACCGTAGAAAGGCTTGTATAGTCCGCGGTTTTATTCTCCAAAGTTGGACCTTCCAGACGGGGTGCGGAGTATAGAGTACAATAAGCAAGAAATAAGAGACAAATTTCAATTTCGCGGGCGAGGTGGTTTGTTTACGTTCCGCCATCTTTGTTATTTCTATTGTAGAGGGCGCTCTTATCATTTTTCAAACTAATAATTTTAACTCATCCATATTAATAAGTTATTTCTATTCAATATCAAATTTAATACTGATAAATATAAAAACTAAACCTTTCATTACAAATTTCTCGTTTCTTTTCAATGCATTGGTTGAAATAAACTGGTATCTGCTTGATTGAAACGATACAAACATAGTGAAAAAGACAACCGTAAACCAGCTTAGAATTTGTAAACTACAAAACGTAATCGGTTATTGTTCGTTCCGTTTTGGTGTTTCATACTGACTAATATGGTTTGTATTAGCTTAAGACCCTTCAAACATTAATGTGATAGATATATTAAAGACTGTTTTACAAAAGGATGGAACTGTTTTACTTTCAAAGTCGTATTATAGTGATATCTGTTATGTACGGATTTCGACTCTCACCGGTTAATTTCTTCTTTTACACGTGCTTTTTAAACTTCCTGTTTAAACATACACAAGTTTCTAAATTGTTTTTTAAGTGAATTAAACTTATTTTAACAATCATGAAGCGGTCTAGAATCATTTACAAGCAGTTTCAGCTTCTGTTTGATGATGGAAAACAGGTTCTTCCAAGAAAATACCGCAAACGACCGCACAGGATTTGAAATTACCGGAGTTTCATTAGACCTTTTCTAACAGTTGCAAAAAGTTTTTTTACCTAAAATTTCGGGGGGAGAAGGGGGTGCGGACTATGTACCACTGCGAACTATACAAGCCTTTCTACGGTATGTACAAAATGTTGGGATGAACTTTTAGCAGATGAATCACCATCCTTCCACAATGTATTTATAATCTTTAATTGCAAATTAATTTCAGAAGTCACTTACATCAAAGAAAAGGGGAAGTAAGACAACACAAATATTGAAGAATGTGGAAGTAGAATTATTACGCAATAGGTATGTATTTATAGTACTTATTTAGGTTAAGATGCAAATGAATACAATATTTCACTTATTTTAATTCAAGTTTGATGTTCAGATGTTTAAGAAGTTATATTTCAAATGTGTCTTGATTCATATTCAAGTCAAAAGTTCATGTCAACTTTTGAGATAAAAATGAATTCACGTGTACAATTATAGCTCAAATTACCATTATTGTTGTTAACTGGAAATAAAATTGTCTAGAGAATAATTTGCTTCATTTTGTGGTGGGTTTTTGGTCTCAAAATGAATTGAAATTAACTTTTATTTTTTAGTTCCTGTCCAAAGTCAGGAGCCTGTAGTTCAGTGGTTGTCGTTGGTTCATGTCTGTCATATTTATTCTTCGTAAATTGTTTTGTTATAAATTAGGCCTTCAGTTTTCTCAATTGAATTGTTTCATATTTTTATGTCATGGCCTTTTAAAGCCGACTATACGGTATGGATTTTTCTCATTGTTGAAGGCTGTACGGTTGCCTATAATTGCTTACATTCACTTCATTTTAACTTTAGTGGATAGTTGTCTCATTGGCAATGATACCATATCTTCTTATTTTTATATTTATTACTTATCCTGTGAGTAGATTTGTCTAAGAGGTAATGCACAAGTTTTTCTCTTCTCTTTCTTATATTTTACTGCACATTTATTTTTTTTTAATTATTTTAGAAATCTGTTTTGTATTTAATGTAAACTACCAGATTATTTTTCTGTATTTCAGGCAGAAAGCTGTAACATCAATGTCAAAAATTATTGAAAGTCAAGTTAAAAAAAATGTTGATGCAGGTTGGTGTAAATAAACTAATTTTCATGTAAACCATAATTAATCATAGTGCATAAAATGTGCAGACGGTAATCAGATGTTGGAAATTTGAATCTTTCATATTTTCTGCCTTGTGGAAAATGAGAATAGAGGGACAGCACAAATAAAGTACTGTAATTGTAAATTGTAGGGATAAAATCGAGAACACCTCTATATTAAAGAAATTTTACTGAAAATATCGTAAACATGGAAAAGACAAAAGATGGTCATTACCATGATTACCAAGTGCCTGTGTATTTTGTATTGGAAAAATACTGCAGAATTTTCTTGCACATGGAATAGAGAACTAGTCTTAATAGCAGGATGTTCAGTTTTTATATATTATATTATTGCATTGTTGTGATCAACTATATATATATATACAGATTTAAAAAGGACTTCTTCAACCAACATAAAATTCTGAAACCAAAACCCTTTTTTTTAAATATTTTAGTATATTTAATTTGTTTGGTATTTTTTTAGTAAAAAAAGATTTTTTTTATATCAAAAGTTTTAGTCCTAAACTGAAAAAAATGAAAGATATAGAAAATAAAAAAGATGCAGCAGAAAGACATTTTTGTGTATGTTGAATTTTTGCGGTCCCATTGTTATATAATTATTTTTTCTTAACTGAAAATGAATAAAAGGAATCATTTTATGCTGGATACACAGATCTTTGATTGTGTACTTTAAATATTGTTTTTTTTTCCAGAAGACATTTTATCTTTCTGGAAGCCAGTTCTTAAGATTTATCACCAGTGTGGTTTAACATTGTCCATGCTGAAGTGTTTACCTGTTACCGATGGTTTTTGTGGAATTATTTCATCGTTTCTTTACCACCTGGCTGATACAGGTAAGATACTCTAAGCTTAAATCTGCTTGGAGATTAAAAGAAAATCATATTGTTCTACAACGTATAAAAGAACTTTGTTGATTTTACAACTAAAGGGGTGTTTTGGTGACTAAGTTATCTTTATAATTATGCAATGTTAACACTGTTCATCAGTAATATGTTATATGTTTGTTGATAAAATGATCTTATAATGTAAAATTTCCAAAACTTCCATTTTTTGACAACTGACATAACTCACCTTTGGTCTCTGGTGGATTAAAGAATGTCACAATATGTTACAATGATTTTTTTGTGACATTGGAATTAGGTATTCAATAGAACAATTGAAACATTAAAACTTAAATTCTTTTTGATAACTGTGGATTCATTATTATATGTGGGATACCAATTTTTGTGGATATTTCGTTGGTACAGGTGAACCACAAATTTAAATAATCAACGAATTACACCTTTTCAATAGATATGTAGATTTTGGCCAAACCACGAAAATGCATGTTTTCCTCAATATATTAAAGTTTGTACCCACGGATGTAAATGAATCCACAGTATTGGTTTACAATTAAAACATTTTTAATAGTTTTGGTCTTAAAATGAGGAAGGATACTGTGGATTCGTTATTATTTGTGGAGTACAATTCCATGGATTTATTAGATAAAGATAAACCACAAATTTGAATGCGCAACAAAGTTCATATTTTTAAAGGCTTGAATGGTGACTTTGACAAAACCTTGAAAAAACAATTTTTCCCCAATCCACAAAAATTAGTACCCACGAAAAGGAATGAATCCAGAGAAACAGAAATACATGTATTACAAAAAAAAACATAACAGTAAAGCAGACCACATCTTCTTATTTTTATACTGTATTGTTTATGTAGGCAAGTTAGGAATGTGTCTTTATAATATTTACAATTTAAAATTTAGAATGTATTAATATATCATATCATTGCAGGAGGTTTGAACCAAATAGTGGAGTACTTTGATTTTGTATTGAATAGTCTTGACCAATACAGTGTACTGTGTCTGTAAGTATTGGTAGAATTTATAAAATTCTCAGCAGTAGCCAAACTTTTATGTCAATTCTTAGTCTCCAGAAACATATAGCATGCCTTTTACAATTAACGTATTTATTTCAAGAAAAGCGTAGCTGCAAAATTTTATTTCATATTTATCTGCCTTCAAACCTGAAAAGAACGTGTAGTTTCAAAGGAGTTTTAACAGTGTGAAAAGAAGGAAACATTTTCTTATACCAATTATGAAGGTAATTAATACTATTCTCCCATTCCCAACAACTGGAAAAAGAACGGTTAATTGATTGCAATGGTTGTTGAATGCATGTAAGGTCCAGGGACAAATATTTGAAGCACGATCTATTCACGGAGATAGACCTTTATAAAAAGGAAGAAAATTACTAAACATCCAGTGACATATGTTTTTTAGAATATTATTAATTGCGACAGGATAAAAACAGGTACTCTACCAAAATAACAGTAGGAAAAGTTATAGTCATTTCTATTACATTTTGTTTTATTCTCTTCATTATTTACTTTGCGAAGGAGGCGAAGGAATGAGATGGAAGTTAGAGCACTGGTTTAAGCTCCTCCCATTCTTTGCTATTCCAACGAGAAGTGGTCATTGGGGGGACTGGAGAGTGCAATAACTAAAAAATCATTCAGTTAACGCACCCCTCTAAAATTAACAGAAATTAACTCATTCGAAGATCAAAGGAAAAATTACCATTCATGTTACGAAAAAAATTGATTTATTGGCTGGCTGGCTGTCATATATTGAGATGTGAATTCTGTTTTCACAGTATAAGAAAAATTTTAAAATGTGAAACTAGGATAATCGAAAAATCAGTCAAAAGATTAAAATAACACATATAGGAACATGGACAGTCAATATTTAATCATGAAACTAAATTTAAGATTAATTCACCTTTTACAGGGAAAGTAGAAGACATTTACTATTATGGCACCCATCATATTGTCCCATGGTCAATGATTGATATATTGATTGTGTTGTGTTAATTATATTTTGTCAGCTTTTTGTATGAACAGAAATTAAATACATTTATATTGAAGTATAGTATTGGTGTCATGGAATAACTGCTAACTATTATAATATATTAAAAAAATCATAAGATACAAAAGAATGAGCAAAATGCAATTAAACACACCAAAATATCTCACAGATGTTTCATTTCAAGTAATCTCTACATTATAGATTTGTTTTATGCAAAAATGTTACAGCAGTTTACATACAAACACTTAAAAAATCACAATTATTTTCAATCAGAATTAAAATATAAGGGATCATTGATTTATATGTTTTCAGTCTGCAGAAACTTGATCTTAATTACCTGCTACCTGAAAATAAGGCTGATCAGCTGACACAAATAATGGATATCTATTCATCACATGATAATTCCATTCAAAAAGAGGAAATTTACCATGTGACAGGTATGTTTATAAAATAGGTATATTAAAATTAAATCATTTTGGATCGTTTTCCTGCCAAAGATTGTGGTTCCACCTGGGCACTCCTCCTTCTTCCACCAAAAAAGAAACTGACTGCCACAATATAGCCAATAATGCTGAAAATGGCTTTAAACACCAACAATTAATCAATCAATGTATAGATAGAGTATTATGCAAAGGTTAATGCAGAGTTCTTCTGTAAACAGAAATAAAAAAAAAATCCAAACATAACAATCCAAGAAAAACAACAACAAACAACTCATTTTCTAGACACACACAAAATGTGATGGGGTTAAACCAGTTTTGTGTGTAGACAAACCTTCCCTTTTGTCTATCTAGATTACCTGTCATAAATCTAAAACACACAATAAAGAAAACCTGCACAGTGCAACTACTTAAAAGATGACCACTATCTTGAACAAACAAATAAAAACTAAATAGTTAGTATATGTGTGCTCATCTATGAAATAAATCTTTATAACAACTTATGTGAATAATTTTCTTTGTTAAAGATTTGCCAGTAGGTGAAGTAAAAGAAACTAGTTCAGAATCATGGAAATTATTTACAGGTAACTACTTTATATGCCTCTTAATTGGTAAGATTGGAGTGTACTTTTACATGCCTGTAGCTCTGGTAATTCATAACTGTATAAAGTGTATTCAAACTTATGTGAGGGTACATGTTTTGTACATCTAACTTCACTTTTAGATTACCAGCCACAAAATCTTATTTCACATGATATTTACCAAAGATAGACTTATTGTCAGAAATATCATATTGTTTCACAATCAGGGAATAATTATATATTGTGGATACATTTATTTTCGTGGGTTACACCAATTTTCGTGGATTGCAGGAACATTGTATCTTTTGAGGAAATTTGATTTTGTGGTTTTGTACAAGTCTGCATACAAGCTTATAGAAAATTTTGACTTTGTTGAACACTTGAATTCGTGGTTCACATGTAACTACGAAATCCACAGAAATTAGAATCCCAACGAATATTAATGAATTTACAGTAATTGATTTTTAAATCTATATGTTTTGTCCAGAATTATTGCAAACAGGAGTTGTCTACCTTTATTTCAAATTTTCAAATTATTAATCATTCAGTTGAGTTGTATATTTATAATTGGGGAGGGAATCTTTAATTTTACACCTGAATAAAGTGATTTTACATTTAATATTTTAGTATTTTCATGAAGAATACATCAGAAAGAAATAATCTAACATATTTATAATCAGGACTTAATATATTTTGGTTATTTTTGTTGTATAAAAACAGAAAGACAGTATAATAATGTCAGAAAAAAACAGCATTCATGATTATTGACAAAGTTCATTGTATGTGTTATAAAACTTTAAAAAAAAGTTTAAAAAAACACACAAAAGACCAAAAACAAGATTAATGAATAATTGGAGATGGGGGATATACTTCAATGAGACAGCCACCAAACAGCAAAAGAGAACCAATAAAGACATCTAGAAGTCTGCATATAGTTTTAGTAGTAGATTTAAAACTTTGATAATATGTCAAATAATATAGACAAGTTGTGAAACCGCCAATTACCTACCAAGATGACAGTTTTCTTCAAATTATTGCTGATTATTCAGTTGAAAATAATTAATTAATTTTGTAAATTTACTGGTAATTCACAAATACTTAAACAATATATTTCATGACATTGTTGTCCCTTGGAGTTAGAAATGGTCATGTTATTGACTTATATGGTGCCAAAGTTCAACAAGTACCGTATAGCGGGTTATTTTCGCGGGTTGTAAATTTTCGCTTATTTTCGCGGATAGAACAAAATCGCCAAAATAAATTCCGCTAATTCCAAAGTGTACATGCAAAGGTATTGATAAAAGTTTTGAATCCGACAAAATAAGAACCGCCAAAATATTTCGTTCACTTTATTTAATGAAAATCGTGAAATTTTACACCCGCGAAAATAACCCGCTATACAGTATCTCTGATAAAAATCCTAAGATTTATAGTGTTGTTTTTTTTTATGTTTCATTCATTTTACCCCGTAATATGATCACACAAAAATGTTCAAATTTACAGTTTTTGCTCGCCACTTATGATAAGTATCTGCAGTTATATAATCTTTAGCATTTGGGAGACGGATTTATAAAAGTTTTTCCAAACTTGTTTCCGAATCCGGTATTTGAATTTCATGTAACATTGTAATACTTTATTGTTGTAATTTTTCATTAATAAATACTGTTTAAACTAATCTTTAGCATGTCTCATTTTCATGGAGGTTATTTGGCCCTGCACCTTCAGTCATGGTTCATTGACTCTGAATGTTTTGCATAGTTTAAATGTTTTAATATTGCCAATAAGATTCAACATTTGCATTATACTATCAAAATTACAAAAAGGTGAGACATATCTCTGTGTCAATAGTTTATTATTTCTTTTAGACCTTGTAAACTGGAATGAGTTTCCTATTGGTTGTATACCAGGTTGTAATATTACATATGACAGTTTAAGGTTAGGAGATACAATACCTGATGACAAAGTAGAAGAGGGTTCAGATCAGAGAACTGTAGATGCCATGGAATACACACAAGACTCCAGTTTTACCATGTAAGTTGTTAAATAACTGCGGCTTTTCTAATTAATATGTGAGAGATTGACAGGAATTGAAATAATGGTGGGCATCCTTGATCTGCAGTTTACTCAATTATTTGGAATAATTATGTTATTTTCTTTACTGCACAGCTGGACATAACACATTTTATTTTACATGCACAAGGTTCAATAATTCATAGAAGACCAAATTTAAAAAAAAAATGAAGCTTGAAACCGATGGATTACTTCAAATTAGAATCAATGATAAACATGATGATTTCAACTTTCCAATTGTGAACTTCCCATTTCTCAGCAGTAACATACACTCTGTCCCATTATACGGCATTTGCATATCTAATTTGACATGTTACGCTCATGCAAGTTCACACTGTACACTGTCAGACTTCCTTAACAGAGATGTGCTCCTTACACAAAAACTGCTCCAACAGAGTAAGGAGGAAGAATGACTTAAATCAACAATACATAAGTTTTATAATCACCAACATCAATTTAGTGACCAATTCAATATGTCTGTGTCTGTACTCACCAGCGACATGTTTTCACAGTCTTAGATCTTTAGATATCTGCGACTCTTTTCACAAAAAATCTTAAGAGTAAAAATACTCGTAAGTCATACACATTTCAGTATAACTTACGATCAATTTTAATCGTAAGATTTTTTGTGAAAAGAGTCGCAGATTTTGTAATTTTCTGTAATTTTACTGATTGTGTTTAAATTTGGATTTGCATGGCTCGGTGTTGCATGCATATCAAAAGATGCTTACCCTGTAGAGGCACACAGTCTCATTCCTTTCGGAGTTCATGCAATTCCCTCAGCTTTTTTTTGTTACCTTGATTTGTCTTATTAATTGATTTATGGAATTTGAACATTGGTAAACTACTTATGCCTAAATTTTACAACAACCATTCAACTATTGAAAATGGCTTCAATGTTAAGTTGTAAAATAAAGACATATCTATTTATATTACAAAAATTTGCTACACATTCATCAAAGAACTAAAATAGGAAAATTCTTTAAGTTTAATAAAAAACAATGAAAACATTACTTTTTAAATTTCATGCGTCCGTAGCACTTTCTGTATGAAAAGCATCAGGAACACTCAAAGCCCATTATTTGAAAATCTTAGGATGTATAAGATCCGAAACAATTGAAGAAATATATGACCAAAAATATCCTAAAAACATAGCCAAAACTTTGCCTGAGGAAAAACTTGTATATAAAACAAGTCTTACGAACTTGAAATAATTAAGGAAAAACATATGAATATAAAATTATATATAAGGAATGAAGAAAAACACCATACACCGAAATGTGTTCATTGATTTACATGTATTGGTTAAAAGAAAATACTCCATTGTCAAAAATTGTCAATTCAAACTGCTTTTCTATTATAAAACAATCAAGAATTTGCTACATTTCAATATATTTATTGAACCCTTTACCAAAAAGAAGTTGATTTCATATTATCAAATGTTAAGATAAAAAAAAATACTTTGAAATTTGTAATATTGAATAACAATACTAATATTTTATATAATGAATGTGTTCACTATGAAAATTACTGATCTAACCATTATTGCTGTCTTATACATAGATATACCCAATTTCTCTTATATATGTCTGTCCCTTTGGTAGTGCTATCTAAAAAAAAATACAAATGTTTATATATGTGTGTGTATTATATAACAGAAGATACACAGTCATAATTTTTTTGTCATTTCAGGTCCACTGTTGAAGATTCATTTCCAAAGAACACTTGGACTCAACAAGAGATGAATAAAATTCAAAATCTCATACAGATTTTATGACACAAAAACTAATAAAATTTTTTAATTCAAAGGTTTTATTTATATGAATATAAGATGTTTGCTACATAAGAAATCAGCCAAACCAAAAAAAAACCCCAGCAAATGATAATATCTGTGAACATTGATGTGGGTATCCTGCTTTTACAGTAAGATGGAATATAAGTTGCAGATTCTATCATTCAACAAAACAGGTCATTTGGTAAAAGACTTTATCCAACTACCACAGGAAGACTTTTGCAAACAAACAATGTTAACAGTACAATTCAAAACTGGATACTGTTTACTATATGCTTGTCAGAACTTTCTTTTCAGGATTCATTTGTTTTACACCAGACAGACATTTCGTCTACAAAAGACTCATCAGTGACCCTCTAATACAAAAAATATAAAAGGCTAAAATTTAAATTGAAGAGCATTTAGGACCAAAATTGAGCAGGATCTGCCTACCCTTCCAAAGCACTTGAGATGACATAGTTTTTGATGGAGTTCATGTTCCTACGTCTTTCTTATTCTATGTAGTATTTTGTGGACTTATTTCTCTACAACTTATGAGTTTTGAATCTCCTTGGTATTTTTTGCTTCTTTTTTACTGGAAAATTAGAATTTGTGTCATAATTGATAATTCAATATCAATTTAGTCAATCACTACTGTCAGACAAAAGAATGATTGGAAATATAGTATCTTATAACTCACGAACTACTTTAACTAGATTTTCCAGAGTCTTGTTCTAGCATTCTGAGTTATGGCCTCTGTCATTAAGGTCATAGCAAGGAAAACAGATTTTGTTGAACTACTTACGATCAATGGGCAGGAAATTGGCCATGTCACAGATTTTGGTGAAAATGATACATACAAATTTTAGCTAGTTCAGCATTTGTGTAGAATGTAGGTAAAATCTTTAAAAAATTTTGTCAAGATTATCTTAAAAATCTCCTTTCCCTAAACCAAGTACATAAATTTAAAAAAAAAGGAAAGAAGATTAGGAGATTTGATGATATAAACCAATTTAAGAATGATCTCAGCAATTGTACATGCTTTCTTTACATATGTTTTGAATGAATTATTGCAATAACATTTCAGAAAATAAATGCATTATTTTTTTCTATTTGGAAGTTTAACATACTGCAGTTGTAGACAAAATCTTTTAAAAATCTGTAAAATAACCCATTTACTGTAACTTGACCTTTATTCTAAGATAAGATACAAATGCTAAGTTTTCACCAATCTATCAAACCATTTTAGAGTTTGTTTGCAGAATGAAATCCTATACTAATGTCAAGAACTGCTGCTTCTATTTTGACTAAATTATTAAATAACCATGAAGACCCTTTATTACAGATAATTCTGATGTACTACAATACTTCACAAAGTAATCATAATTGAGTCGTATTCGAATAAAAAAAGACTATTACAGATAGATTTGGATATTTTGCAATTTGTTGTTTGTAAGTTGTTTAAATTATTCGAAACACTCCAGTTTTGCCAGGCAATGATTTGACACAACTTTTCGGAATTTTTGGTTTTCAATGCTTTTTTGAACTTCGTTATTGATTTGGCCTTCCAACTGTATTTAGGGGCCACGGTGGCCGAGTGGTCTAAGTAGTCGGAACTACTGTATCACTAGCCAGTCAACACTGATGTTGTGAGTTCGAATCCCGCAAGTGGCAGATGCACTCGACTCCAATCTTAATTGACTAGGATTGTCAGTTTTCCTAACGATGGTCGGTTGTTCTCTCCGGACACTCCGGCTTGATTTGAGCTCAGATTATAAATGTTCGAATGACTACAATGTTTTTAAATACACCAAAGGCCTTTTCAGCAGAATCTATAATTTAATTTTAGTAACAAAATCATTTACACTGTTTTTATCTATAATAAGTATATCATCATTCATTGCTTGAACATGAATCCCTGTTGATGTTACGGAAATGAAAACATCTTTTAATATCTCTATGAATATATGTATTCTTCCTTTTTTCCAATATATGTTATTCATTATGACATATCTTTTTCAAATTACAATCTTATTATAAAAAAGGAGAGTATGAAATAAATTATTAAATTGCAGTATTTCAAAACCGAGACTACTGTAATAACAAAAACTCATCAAAGATACCAGGTTTATAATTTGATACTCCCGACTTTAGTTTTGTTTACATGAGAACCAACCGTAGCGCTCAAATCGAGCAAGTCGGAAGGCCAAATCAAGTACGAAGTTGGAGAGCATTAAAAAACAGAAAATCCCGAAATGTTATGCAAAAAAAAAAAAAAAACCAGCTAAGGGGCCTTGGGGTAGAAAGATTAATGTTTCGAATAATTCAACATTTCATAAACATTAAATTTACAGAAACTTACCATATAGATAATATTTCATCAACACAAAAGTGCTGACTACTGGGCTGGTGATACCCTCGTAGACGAAACGTCCACCACCAGTGGTTGACAAAGATACAAGGCTTATATTATTTTACGCCAGACGAGCGTTTCGTCTTCACAAGACTCATCAATTGCGCTAAAATCAAAATAGTTTGAATACATAATCAAATACGAAGTTGAAGAGCATTAAAAACCGAAAATTTCGAAAAGTTGTGCCAAAATAGGCTCAGACAATCTATGCCTGGGGTAGGAAAACCTCACTGTTTAAAACAATCATTTTTTTTTCATAAAGAAAGGCAACAGAAGTATACTGCTATTCGAAATTCATAAATCGATTGAGAAAAAAAGAAATCCGGGTTACAAACTAAAACTGAGGGAAACATCAAATATAAAACAAAGACACAACAGAAACTCAACACTAAAATGCAACACACACAGAAACGAACTATGATATAGCAATGGCCATTTTCCTGACTTGGTACAGCTAATTTACTGAAAACTAATACATCATTTTTAGCTCACCTGGCCCGAAGGGCCAAGTGAGCTTTTCTCATCACTTGGCGTCCGTCGTCCGTCGTCGTCGTTAACTTTTTACATTTTGAACTTCTTCTTGAGAACCACTGAATGGAATGAAACCAAACATGGCATGAATGTTCCTTATGAGGTGCTGACCAAGTGTTGTTACTTTGAAGCCGATCCATAATCCAAGATGGCCGCCAGCAAGGGACTTAGTTTAACATAGGACCCTAAGGGCAATGCATACAAATGTCTTCTTTTAGAGAACCACTGAATGGAATGAAACCAAACATGGCATGAATGTTCCTTATGAGATTCTGACCAAGTGTTGTTAATTTGAAGCCAATCCATCATCCAAGATGGCTGCCAGCGGGGGACTTAGTTTAACATAGGACCCAATGGGAAATACATACAAATGTCTTCTCTTAGAGAACCACTGAATGGAATGAAACCAAACATGGCATGAATGTTCCTTATGAGGTGCTGACCAAGTGTTGTTACTTTGAAGCTGATCCATAATCCAAGATGGCCGCCAGCGGGGGACTTAGTTTAACATAGGACCCTATGGGAAATACATACAAATGTCTTCTTTTAGAGAACCACTGAATGGAATGAAGCCAAACATGGCATGAATGTTCCTTATGAGATGCTGACCAAGTGTTGTTACTTTGAAGCCAATCCATCATCCAAGATAGCCGCCAGCGGGGGACTTAGTTTAACATAGGACCCTATGGGAAATACATACAAATGTCTTCTTTTAGAGAACCACTGAATGGAATGAAACCAAACATGGAATGAATGTTCCTTATGAGGTGCTGACCAAGTGTTGTTACTTCGAAGCCGATCCATAATCCAAGATGGCTGCCAGCGGGGGACTTAGTTTAACATAGGACCCTATGGGAAATATTTACAAATGTCTTCATTTTGAGAATCACTGAATGGAATGAAACCAAACATGGCATAAATGTTCCTTATGAGGTGCTGACCATGTGTTGTTACTTTGAAGCCGATCCATCACCCGAGATGGCCGCCAGAGAGGGAGTTAGTTTAATATAGGACCCTATGGGAAATACATACAAACGCTTCTTTTAGAGAACCACTAAACGGAATGAAATAAAACATGGCATGAATGTTCCTTATGAGGTGCTGACCAAGTGTTGTAACTTTGTAGGCGATCAATCATCCAAAATGGCCGCCAGCGGGGGAATTAGTTTAATATAGGACCCTATGGACAATACATACAAATGTTTTCGTTAAGAGAACCACTAAACGGAATGAAATAAAACATGGCATGAATGTTCCTTATGAGGTGCTGACCAAGTGTTGTAACTTAGTAGGCGATCAATCATCCAAGATGGCCGCCAGGGTGGACTTAGTTTAACATAGGACCCTATGTGAAATATATACAAATGTTTTCTTTAAGTGAACCACTGAATGGAATGAAACCAAACATGGCATGAATGTTCCTAATGAGGTGCTGGCCAAGTGTTACTTTGTAGCCAATCAATCATCCAAGATGGCTGCCATCGGGGAACTTAGTTTAACAAAGGACCCTATGTGAAATACATACAAAAGTCTTCTTTTGAAGAACCACTGAATGGAATGAAACCAAACATGGCATGAATGTTCCTTATGAGGTGCTGACCAAGTGTTGTTACTTTGTAGCAAATCCATCAAAGAAGATTGCTTCCAACGGGGGACTTAGTTTAACAAAGGACCTTAAGGGAAATATATACAAATGTCTTCTTCTAGAAAACTGTTTAATGGATTGAAACCAAACATGGTATGAATGTTTCTTTTGAGGTGCTGACCAAGTGTTGTTACTTTGTAGCTGATTTGTCATTGTCTTTATAAAGTCATTTTCTACAATTTCAATGAATTTATTGGTAATTTCTGTAAACTTTGCAAAAGTCTTCTGCTTTTGATTAAATTACGGGGCCAATATTAAACCAAATTAGGCCTCAATCATTATTAGGGTATCTGTTATGGTTTTAATCTATTTTTACATGATTTCCAAAACCAAAGTAGAATCAGGTGAGCGACATAGGCTCTTGGGAGCCTCTAGTTATTTCATGTCAAGAAAAAGTGCTGACTACCGAGATGGTGATATCATCAGGATGAAAGGTCCACCAGCAGTT